AATCTATAAAGGGTTTACAGTATTAGAAACATTCCTGGTTCTTTATTAGAAGCTAGTACTCTGTATAAGACAAGTTAATACACTTTACAGTACTTTCTGAGACAGTCTTTAGACTAGCTGTTGTAGAGATAACCTTTCCTGTGTACTACTTCTCCTGATCCTTCTTCTAGGCCTGTTCTACTGTAAGTATTACTTCTATACTGTTGTGAACTTTTGTACAGTCTGTTTCTAACTGTTCTACTAGTTTATACACATGTTTTAACTACTTATAGAGTCTAGTACAATCTGTTACTTCTTTTCCTAGAACCAGTTCTAGGGCTGGGAGGTGATCTACAGGATCAGGGATCTGACTATTTACTAAGATCACTACATACAACCTTTCTATATATATTGTAAGCTACTTAGAATGTGTTAGAACTAAATTTGTAAGTGTGAGACAAAGCTTAAACTAGAGGTCTGAGTGTAGGTTAGCTTTAAGAAGTTTGTAAAGCCTATTAGGATTGAGGCACCAATCTTCTGGAAGACTGAAGTTGATCCTAGTAACCTGTAGCTGCCATTCCTAGAAGTTGTAACTATCTTACTATATTACTAGCAACCTGTTCTAAGTTTGTACTATCTAGTCTATAGAGAGTATTTTACACTAAAGCTCCTAATAGAATGTGTCTAGTGTAAGCCCTTCAAGCCTAGACTAGTCATACTTATACTACTAACACAGTCTACTGTCCTATAAACATTCTATTACAACTGTAACCATACAAGTTGTAAGGACAGATTTAGTAAACACATACTTGTAAAACATAAAGATTTATAACTAGAGAGTGTATAGTGTTAAGTTGTCTAGGGTCAGTATTAGAGACTTTGTTACACTTTCCTAGACCACTTAAGCTTTAGTAAATATAGTATAAAACATTGTAACCTTCTAGTAGTTTAGGGTAGGTAGCTTACTTGTATTACTTTCTAGTTCTGAGAAGTCTAAACTACTTACTAAATCTGAACTTAGGGTTACTGTAGATAACAGTAGTGTAAGGGAAGTAAATACAGCTTCTCTAGTTAATAGAGAGGTAACTGTAGTAGCTTCTAAAGATACCTGGTTATATACAGTTAGGAAGAGAGCTAAACTTGCTTTAAGACTATAATAGTGTGTTTAGAAAGGCTAAAGAGCCTTACTAATAGTAGGGAGTATTCAGGAAAGCTAGAGGAACCTTACTAACAGTAGGAGACATTTAGGAAGGTTGAGGGAACCTTACTAACATGTAGTACAATAAAGACTACTTTGTTAATATTAAAAAAAAAGTAAAACAGTACTAAGAAAGTACTAAACACTGTTACAAACAAGTTCTGTTAAGTTCTGGGTTTGCTAACACATGTAGAACACTAACAGGACAAAGGTATCTTTGTTATAGTCAGGAATAACATTGTGAAAAAGTCACATTCCTTATATGGAATTTTAGACTTTGTAAAGCAAAATAAACATTGTATATACATTATAAAGCAATATAAGTATTATATATACATTATAAAGCAATATAAGCATTATATATACATTATAAAGTAACTGTAAGGTTTCCAGATGAATTGTAATGTCTAAATAAGACATATTAACACATTACAAGACAATATAAGTACTATAGATAAATATAATCTATAAAACTAATTATACTAACCTTGTATGACAAGCCAAAGTATTATGTTTACATTATATTTCTATTATAATTATAAAAACAGAGTGGTACTTACAATATAATAAAGTAATAACAACTATTGTTTACTTACAATTGTTATAAAATGGTTATTAATGTATACAATTATAAAAACATTCTTTTTGTAAAGTTATAATCTTAATAAATGTATAGCATTAATATACAACTTGATAGCAATCACAAAGCAAGTATGAGACAAGAAAAAAAAGTATTACAAGATCTTTCTAATAATGTGCCCCTTGGCTGTTTTGTAACCTATTTTTGCCATCTTAAAATCAAATTTCTGTACATATATTGAGTCTATATGAATAAAGACAAGGAAAAGAAAGAAAGAAAATACTCACATTATCAATATAAGGTAGATACTAATAGATGCTACCTTTTTCTTCTTCCCAAAGCACCTTATTGTGAGGTGTAAGGTACAATCATTAGGTGACTTGTAGATTCCCCCCCTTTGTAATAATAACAATAGTATTTGTATTTGTATTAATGTTAGTAGTACTTA